TTTTTTATTTTAGATATTATTTCAAGAACACCTTGTGATTATTTATCATCATTATTAAACATGTTTAACAATTAGAATAATAGATTACAACTTGGAATTAAAATTCAAAACAACAATTTGTTAAGTTTCTTAGAAGTTAGAGTNCTAAATTTGAATGGGAAATTATGTTCTGAGTGGTACCATAATCTACTTGTTCGGATAAATATTTAAACTTTTTTTTGTCTCATCCAAAATCACAAAATATTGGTACTATATTTAGCATGGTGAATAGAATAATGTTATTATCTGACTCTTATTTCCAAGAGAAAAATTTTTAATTTATGATTGATGTGTTAATTAAAAAGTATTATCCTTTACATTATATTTTTATAATTTTAAGAAACAAAATCAAGTTTTTAATTATTGGTAAATTACATTTAAATTTTGACACTAATTTTACTCTTTTATCAGGTGATAATGTAAAAAAGTCACTTATTTTGGTGTTCCTTTTTTGACTGGTTTATCAAATTCTTTCAGTATGTTTTTTAAAAAATCTAATGAAACATCCTTGGGATTTCGAAGTGTGAAAAAATTAAACAAGTTTATAGGAGTTTCAAAAGACGTTACAGCGCATAATCATAATAAAAATGTAGTGTACCAAATCAATTGTAACAACTGCAATGTGTCCTATGTCGGACAAACAAAGAGAATGTTAAAAACAAGAATTAAGGAGCATAGTAATTAATTTAACAGAATTTCAAATGGTGCTTCTGTTGTTACTGAACATCGTTTGGTAACTTTTTCATAATTTCTGTTGGAACAATGTTAAAATTTTAAATACTGAACAATTTTTTTATAAGCGATTTATTTCAGAAATGCTCCACATTACATTGCAAGATAATCCCATTAATGTAATGTCGGATACATATATAAAACCTTATTTCTCTTTTTTGGAATTGTTCACATCAAAAGTTTAGACCGGTGCTTTTGAATGGTTTGTTGTAAACATGTTTCTCTGTTTTGTCATTGTAAATGACAGCTTTAAAGAATTGATATAGGTGGGGATATCTCTATATATTTACATTGTAAGGAAAACACGTCAGTACACAGTTTCTTTCTTTTATCCATCTTTATAGAAGGTGTTGATTGTTTCAACTGTGTTTAGTAATGCTGTGATCTCACGTGTTTTTTACTTTGCGTAAGGTTTTTTATTGTGTTTGAATTCTGTTGTTTGCTTTAAGGAAAACTTTTGCGCTCAGTTATATCAAATCTTTTTTCGATTAATTTGTTTATCTGAAGAAGGTCCTAACCAATTGACCATAACGTCTGGTGTGTTTTATAATAAAAACAAGTACTGCCTTTTATACATTATCACATTGTAGTTACTGCTGGTATCGGCCCTTTGATTCATGTTTTGACAATTTCACGAGCAAATTATGGATTAAATTTATTATTTTATTTTATAATGTTTAGTATTTTATATATATAATATAAATAATTATCTGTAATTACTATTAAAAATGTAAAATCAAAAAAAATTACCAGTACAATTTAAAAAAAACTTACCTTTTTAAAAAAAGGTAAAAAAATGCGCCAAGTGCACGCACAACACGTAATACATTAAATTAAAATTCTAAACTCAAACTAGTATTTATTAAAAAATGTATTTTATTTTTAATATAAAATATTTTATTTCTACNCCAGAGCTCTTCAGGATGCAATGGTTGACAATGTAACAATATTCGTACAAATAAATTTCAAAGTTGTCGTGGCATCATCCATCTAGTAGCTTCATTCATAGCTCGTTTCCATTTATTATAATCTTTAATCAATCCTAAAGCTAAACACGTAGCTGAAAAAGTTTCATAATTTTCTCCATTTACTATTTTTAACTCCTCAAAATTTGTAGCTCCTTTACCAACAAGCAATAACAATCGTAAATGAAATAATTGTATTTGTGTCGGACTAATCGAATACATACGTCCTATACAGTTGTATTTATTCTTTCGTTTAACCCAACGTGAAACATTTTTACCATTGCTCTTTTCTTTTTTAAATGTATAATAACTTGGAATCTCTATATATAAATATTGTCTTGCTTCTTCATCACGAGAATATAAAGCAAAATAATCTATTAACATAATAACTTGATCTAAAACAGAAGAAATTACATCTTCATTACCATCATTCTCAATAATAATACTTTGTTCATTAGGAAGATGAACAGGTAAACGTACTATACTATGACTTTTTTCGTGTAACTTCTTCTCAAGAATACGCCATGTAGCTTCTACTGATCCAACATATCGAGCTTCAATATAGTTATGTATTTCATCATGATCCACAATTACATTTTCTGTTATTGGTTCAATTCTTATAGCAGCAACATCATGTCCTTTGTAAATATATTTATATAAATATTTTACAGATTTAATACTTGAAACAATTTCAACATTAATATGAGAACAACTTTAAAGATAATTTTATTTTCACTTGGATCTGGAATTTCTGCTGAAATATATTTGTCAATAATTTCTGGAGTTGTTATCTTACAATTACGTTTTAAAGTAATCAACAAATGAATATGAGGCAAACCACGTTTTTGAAAGTCAATAACATATACGAATGCTACTACTTCACCAAAAAATTTTTGTTTAACGATAATGTCAATTAAATAATCTTTTTTAATACTAAAAACACGTGCACAAATATCTGGTCTATCGGAAGCTTGTTGACCAGGTAACAAGTTTTCTTCAATTTCACGCCATTTCGGATTACAAGTCATAGTAATAAAAAGATCTGGTTTACTATATTTAGCAACAATTGCCATTGCATCTTGATAATTTTGTTGCATATTACGAGGTGATCCAAGAAATGTCGAAGGAAGTATAACCATTTTTCCAATACGTCCAGTAACATTATTTGCTACATTTTCCATATAATCTCTTAAACCTTGATACGTTTCACATCGTAATTCTTTCTAATGTTGCTTACAATAAGTTATTCTATCTTTTTCTATTTTTACGTAACTATCCACAAGCCACTGTTGAAATAAACGACGACCCAATAAAAAACCGGTAAACTCATCACGAATAGCTATACGATATTTTATGTATTGTCCTCTCGATATTCGTTTACTACTATTTACTTTTGTTAAATGACGATGCCATCCTTGAGTTCCATGTGGAAGAAATAATGGATATATCCATGGTTCAACATTTGGATCCATAAAACTAACTTTTTCTAAAGTTTTCGTATTTTTATTACGTATTATAACGTATGATTCTGGAATTTTTCCATCAGCAGTTGTAGAAAAAACAGCTGCAACTTCAGTTGTTCGTTGTGGATTATATCGACGTTGGTCCATTCCAGGTTTTAATGTAAACACTAATTGCCATTCTGATAGAGATTCTAATTCCGTATTTAATTGTCGTTGATTTTCTAATTTTTCACCCATCATTTGATACGAATGAGAAAATATATTACATTCTCGCATTATATGTTCAAGATTATGTATAATTTCAAAATCTAAATTACAAGTTTTTTTAAAGCAATAATTTATTGATTCATTTGAATGAAAAATAAAAAGTTGACCAGTACTTGGAGTTTCATTTTTTTCAGCATGTAAAGCAGTATTAAATTAATAATAATGTTGTCCTTGTATTTTAAAACAATATAGACCAGGACGTCTATCACGAAAACTAACTATGTTAGCATTAAATGATGCAAAAGTAAATGAACTATTATAACTTCGAATATGATTAAAACACGTATTTGATTTTTTGTGTTTTCTTTCAAACAAAAGACGAAGAAAGTGAGGAAATTGTGGTACTGGTTGAAGATAAACTTTACCGTCATTACAACAATTATGAAACGAATTTCCTCTATTAGCAGTCTTTTCTGGTGTAAAATGTTTCCCATTACAATAAACACAACACACATTCATAGCACCAATGTAATGTTCAACCACAGTATCAATTAACATTGTATTACTAATATTTAAGTCAGGCTGCCATTTTTTAAGTGATCGATATTGCAAGTAATATTTTTTATGTTCACGTAATAAACTTGTAGAAGTTTCTATGTTTTCTTCTGTTACACTATTTGTGTTATAAAGTGTATCACAGACGGAAATACCTTCATGCACTGGTGTAAAACTGGTTTCAATTATATCATTATTTGTTTCTATCACACGATTCTCATTATATATTACACCAGCAAAAGAATGAAATTCTATAGATGATGAAGTACTTCCAGAAACTTTGTCAGTTTGTGGTGTATTTTTTCTTTTTGCTATTTCGCGACGACGTCGTTGATTTTCAGCTCTTTTTCACGACATTGTCGATCAAATTCTTCTTTTTCTTCTGGAGTACGATATATTTTACGTTTTGGCATTTTGTGTAAATATAAAAATATATATTATTTATATATATATATATATATATGTATATATATATATATATGTATAT